AGAAGAATAGGGCAAGCAATGAGTATCTCAGAAAACTAAGTACTTAATAAGTACTCCTCCTTTGTGTTTTGAGGTGGGCCTCACATCTGAGGGAATGTTATGCTTTGGTCATCAGAGTTCAGTAATGTAAAGTTGTAATGAGTTTTTTGGTGAGAAGAGCCCTCTTAATAGATTTATTTCTGAGGGCTTTCTTTTTTATACAGAACCAGGTTTGCATTTAGTGAGTTTTCATTTCGGGCTGCTATGGATGTCTCTGGACATTCTCTTAAGTAAAGGACATTCAAACACAAGTATGCAAGGCAGATCTTAGCAGTAGACTTTTCTTTGCCAAACCAAAGAATGCTTCAATATGGGACACTCCTGTATAATTATTGCAGACCTTTACATCATGTCATCTCTTCGATACTTTACAGTCCGTCACAGTGAGAAATGGCAATCATGTCAGTACTTGCCAAGTGAGAGACACAACACCTGGTAGGCAGTAGCAGAAGGCAAATATGGGGCTAACTCAAAGTATAAAGGAGCACAATTCTCAGGAAAAAAAACTTTTATCTTTCACTCAAGTGTAGATGTAGAAGGATGAATGCTGTAGAGTCTGTTCTCGGTTTTACAAGGCAGAGTTTCATAAAAGTTTTCTATAGTTTGAAGATCATCTTAGTAGGGAAATAATGTCCTAGATCACTGCCTTTCCATATGCAATTGTAAAAAAAACAAACAAAAAAACCAAAGCAATCCTGTGGTAACCTCAGCAATTGCCAGTATGGAAAAAGAGGTATTAAGGAAGTATTTAATGTCTTTTTTCTGTTCACATGGCTAGAAACAGAGGACAGTTAAAATTGTGTGAACAGCCTGTTCTCTATAAAGTACCAGCAAGGGTTCTGCACACTCTTGGTGGCCCTGGGTCAATTATTTGGGGATTAGTGGTAAATGGAATCATGTGGTTTATGACAAAAATAAGTTTGACATCTCCACATATATCCCCTTCTGTTCATTAAACTGATTTCAGAAAATCGTAACTATTTGAGAGAATGGAAGCTCTATGGAATTGGGGCATATCTGTATGTCTTTACAGAAAAACAATTCTTCCAGTACATTTGCTAAATAAAAACATTATAATTATCTCTGTGGAAAAGTTGTTTTTCTTTGTTTAAAACATTTTTCCCGCTAGTTACAGTAATGATGGTCATCAGCACTTCGTTCAAACCACAAACCTTTGTTTCCTTTCCCTAACACTGTTCGGGTATGTTATCTACATTGCTGCTGTTATGCCTTCTGCGAGTCTATATGTTGAAATGTGATGAGCTTTCCTTGTCTGAACATCTTCAGTGAACAGATAAGAATATTTTCACTAGGTTCCAGCTACTGAGCCGGTTCTGAGCACTGTATTAATGTACATAAGCCCCACTGCAGTCTCCAATGCCTGGCTTTATCCAATGAAATTTGGTACATTTAGTCTGAGCAAAGATTTAGGACCCCAGTTAGTTTCTGATCCATGCATAGTCAGTGCAGAAAGAGAGCCTTCAGATAGCTACTCCATCCACCTGAGACCTTGAAATACCTTCAAGGCATACCTTTCCCTTTTTCCTAATTGCAAAAGGCATGCAGGGTGGTTAATCACCTATTTCAAATCACCTGCTTAATTGCTTAAGGTGAAGGGAGCTGAGCCTGGGGGGTGTTGCCCAGCATAGCTCCGTGTTTGTAGCAGTGCCTGCTGAAAGTATGACTAGCTTGTGACAGGCTGCATAATCACTGGAAGTCTTATTTCTGCTTTTGAACTGTGATGACATAAACACACGCAGAAATAGCTGTTGGGTTATGTTCAGCTTCAAAGACATTGTTGGTTAATTTTTCAGTATTATGTGATACTATTATTGGCCATCAAACACTGAAAAATCAAGATGCAGGTGCTGTTGCAGTTTAGTTGTATGGTCTGGCATATCCCTCCACTGGGAGCTGGTGCCATAAAATTGCCCCAGGGTAATTCAGGGAGTCATTATGCTTTATAAGCAAATAACCTGTCCTTGTGTCTCTATGTCCTCTTTGCGGACACATGAACCTTCAGGAAAATAAAGAGCTGTGGTAGCTTTTAGCCTTTATCAGGCTAATGTCAACAGTGAAGTTCGTACAATTATTTCACTTTATTTCATGTCTATGCACGTTTACCCTGTGTCAATTTACTATTGCTTTGAACAATCAGCTACAGAAGCCACCCTATAGTCTAGAAGGCTTTTGAGAAATATCTGCATTTCTTGGTCTGCTTTGTAGCGTGGCATCGGAATTCTAGCATGGGATTTGTGTAGCTGTCAAATGAAACTGCAGAATTACAGAGATTAGAAAGTAAGGTATGGTTGTGCAAGTTAGCTCATTTACACTGCGCTTCTTTGCACCATTCTAGCAATGCAAAGGGAAAAAAGCAAGGGCTGTCCATTCTCACAGCCAGGTCTTAAAGCAGCTTTTAAAGCAGACCAGCATTCAAATGAATAGTGTACATGCGATGATCAAGGGAAATGAAATGTACCAGACTGTCCTCCTGAATGGGAGACCAGACCCATTTCAGCATAAAGTGAGAATCTAACGTAGTTTTCCAGCCTATGCTTGGTTTACATCTGATACCTTTCTGTTAAAGATTTATGAGTTTTACCTGCATATGACCATCATTACAGGCCACTCTGAACTCCACTTAGGCAGACGTAACTTTGATTCAGATAGGGCAACTAAAGTTTGCTTCAACTAGTGATGAAGCTGTAACTGTGCTGTGTATGTTTCAGATATGAAAAGAATCTTGTGTACTTTCTTACTTATTCTTTTTGAGGCCGGAGCCTTTAAAAAGTCCCTCTCCAATGGTCATGTAAGTTTTGTTTCCATTCTTTGCTTCCGTTCTTCTTGTCCCTCTCATTCCTTATCAAAGATCATAATTTTTAAATGGAATTGATGCAAATGGAAGAACCAATGGTTCCATGCCATCAGCAGCTTAGGCTGTTCAGTAGAAGTGTCTGTGTCACAACGAAGGAACAGTTCAAGCCCTCAGATGACAGCATACGCTGAAAAATCAGAGCTGCCCTTGCTTTACTAGGAAGTGTAGTGAGGAAGAGCAGGTAAATGGGATCAGCCCAGGTAGCCTTACTGGCTGGTGCAAGGCCTGGAGAAGGCTGGTGTTCCGCAGCGCTTGCTGACACAAGAGAGGACGCTGTCCTCACCTTTTTGTCCTTTGTCTGAAATGCAAGAGGGAAGCAGTCTCAGTGAGCTCTGTGTCCATGACAGAGGCACTTAGCCCTAGTTTCATCTGGTTTGTGTATACTGAACTTTTGAAATGTTGCTGTATGGTACCCAGTAGTGAAGTTACCTTTCACTCCCTATTTTAAGTGGAGACACAACCCTGAAGTGTTTCTGGCACATGCCTCTGCTCCCATTCTTATTCTGCTTCTTTTTAGTTTCTAAAAATGTTAATTTTTTGTGTCTCTGGCCACAGGAAAAGATGGCTATCCTACAACTGGGTGTATGTGGATGGGTTCCTGTATTCATCTGAGACCCTGCTGACTTCACTCAACTTCTCTTCAATAGCTGATGTTCAGTCATGCATGTTTCATTTCAGGGCTGCAGTCTAAATTAGTCTAAAGTCAGTTCAGTGTATTCTGAACAAAGTGAATGGGAATTCAGCCCACAGGTAGCAATGTGTGTGTTTTAGGGTGGAATCTGGTTCTTCAATTTTTTAATGATTTTTTTTCAAGTCTAGCTAAAAATTGGCTATGTATGTTATATACATCATTGTGACTAAAGGAAGCAAAGGGAATGGAACACATTACCTCATTTCTTAAAACTTGTGTGATCAAAGCTTATTCTGAAGTTTATATGTCTGAGATACACCAAATTCTTCTGTTGGCCTATGTATTTTCCACTGATGAAAAGTTTTTTCTTAGTGTTTGAAAGTATATATTGTATGGAAAGCAGCTGCATTTCTGCACCAGGATGTTACATTCACATTTATTTGGTCTGCAGAAGTCTCAGTTGGGATCAAACATACTTTTGTCTAACTTTAATCCCTTGGCTCTATCTACTCTGTTAAAATTCAGTAGGGTAAATTCAAGCTGGTAAGGCAGACTCGGCTAACGAAGACAAGATGTTATTTTCTGTCCTTTCTTGGTAGTTGACTTGAGGAGCGCTCTGCAGCAGGAGGCCTATGGGATCCAGTGCTGGATATGTCCACGCTGCCATCAGACTGTTTTCTGATGTTCAACCTTGAAACAAATAATCTCAAAGCACTTCAAAGAGAGAGCCCAGGACCCTTTCAAGGACTGCCATCAGACTGTTTTCTGAACAAGTTCAACCTTGAAACAAATAATCTCAAAGCGCTTCAAAGAGAGAGCCCAGGACCCTTTCAAGGGAGGAACATAGATGTTACCTGCTTGAAGCAGTCAGGAGATCTGGACCTAACTACACAATATATAAGTGCATTCTAAAAAAACATTCTGAAAAACAGGATTATCATTGGTTCTTCCTCAAAGCTGGCATCAGTTTTTCTCCTGATAATAACTAATATAGGTGGGTGACTAATTTAAATTTGTGCTTGCCTTGGTTGCAACTCTACACTGCATAGCTGCTGCAGCCATTT